TAGTTACTTGCAAAGCTTCCCTCACATCTTACCAAATCAGTGTTTACTGTCATATTCTAAAGCACGAGGGTGGAAAGGGGAAAGAGGCTAAGTTTCTCCTCCTTCCATGCGTTAGTTGGAGGTGTGCGTGTGTGGGAATCTCCTGCTTGCCAGTCATCATTTTTCAGTCTCTCACACTCTGTTTCTTAGCATACAAATTCGTATTTGTCATCAGCTGCAGATTTCTAACAGCAAAAGGCAGCAGATTTTAGACACCTGGACCCTTTCACATATTCCTTCTATGCTCCATTTTAGATCTTACAATATGGAATATTTCTTCCTTATTCTAATAATTTATATATTTGACAGGTTAGCAAACAGAGTATCCTAGCTAGGTTCCAAAGGCAGGCTACGATAATTTGATCAACTTCACATTTATCAAGTAAAATCCCATTAAAGAGATGAATTGTCAAGAAAGAGGTGGAGTAGTCATGGAGAGCGTGACGTTAAGCAAGCACAGACAGCTTCCATGTTCCATGACCACAGTTTTATATTTTTGGGGGACTCCAAGCACTTCACTAATTTAAAGTCACAGGATCATCCATGCTATAAAGCTAAATATTCTTCACACTGTTAACTGCAGTTTTATACCTCTACCAGGCTCAGCTACAAGAAATCAGTAAATTACAGCAAAGTCTTCTGCAACTGATTACTGACAGAGTTATATACCATAAATCAACCTTATTTAGGTGGCCTGATCTGACTTGGATTCATTGTTTAATTTCATTTCAGATCAAATTTGCTCTTACTTAAATGAACTGAACAGAGTTTCTGGTATGCAGTGCTCATTGGTGAAAGGATGCATGAGAAATTGCTGACATTCCAGATATCCTCAGTACCCATTACACACATTACACGTGAAAAAGCTTTCCAATATCAGTATGCAACATTTTTCAGTAGTTTGAGGAGAGGAAAATGCTGCCTACTGTTACATTCCAAAACATCTATAGGTAATTTAGTGATATACTTCTGCTTTAATAAATAAGCTATGTACAGCATGGTCAAGTAGGCAAAATAAAAGAAAAACCTAATATGCAAATTTTCATTCCTTTATTTCTGAAGTACTTTTGTAATTCCTAATGCCATAATCATAGCATATATGCTGAGATAAGGCATAAGATTCAGAAAAACCTTAAAAGAGCAAACTGATATGTGCACATGCCCCAGAATCTGTGGCCTCAACTCTGATGGACAAAAGCCTTAACCAAAAGTCTTGCAGAACCCTACTACAACATTTAAGTCAGTGTAGCATTTTATATGTGTATTTCCCAAATAACATTCCATTGAAACATAAGATTTCTATACTGACAATTTGCTTAAACTAGCTCAAAAGCTAGCATTTGTGTTGTTCAGAAAATAAAGACAGTAAGAAAAAGCGCTTTTCCCAAAGCTAAAATTTTCAAGCAATGAAGTCTGTTTAAAGCTAGGGAATATCAGAGAGGCATAAGCAGGAAGCAAGTTTGCTATTGTTTGCCAGGCTACCACATGTGTAACTGCTGCTGAATGTGAATAGAAAGAAATAAAATATTCATTCTGACCTTATGGGGTCCAAGTCTTGCTCTCTCCAAAGTTACTGCATACCAAACTAATAGCTGTTCTTCACTTAGTCAAGATCAAGTGTTTCTCGAGACATGTTCAGAAACTTCTAACAATCTTACTCCACACAAAAGGAAATTGGTTATTTGTATGTTATCCAAGGAAGGCTGAGTAATTCACTGTGGTAGGAAAACACTCTAAAAATAAGTCACCTCTCAGCAGATTCACTCCCTTCCTGTCTGGGTTGTAATCAGTTTGCAACTGCAATGAAAGGACAAAGCCTGAGGATGAACTACTGAGAACTTCTGTAGGGACAACACTGCTCGGTTACACTCATTTCACTCCTACATTGCTTTAAAGAATCCAACTACCTGGCAAGCAGAGCAAGACAATAACCCAATAGGATACGGTGGACCAGAGCTCCTGATGTTTAGTCTCTGCTTTCATGTTTATTTTTGTATGTATTTCCTTCTGTTCTTTGAAACAGTTTTTCAAGGACAGTAGCTAGCACTGCATTAACTTAGTGATGCTAAAGGAAAGCAAGTTCATATGAGCATAAAGAATATCTTTTTCTAGCTGTTCATAAAGCAGCATGGAAGACCACAGTATCACAGAAGTGATGAGTAACGTTTCCTGCACAGCTGTTGGCATCCCCAGCGCTGCCCCGAGAGGCAGCCAGGGCCCAGAGCAGGACACTGCGATGCCCAGAGCCCCTTCCAGCTTCTTCAGCACAGAACAGCGTTCAGCCACATGTGGACCTGGTCAGACTTCATCTTCCCCAAAGCCCACAAGATCAGAGTTTCCAGACTTGCCTTCATTTTTACTATCACCGTATGTCAAAAATCTGAAGTTGGCTAAATGATTGGTTTTTGTTTGTTCTTTCTCCACTCAAAATTAAACTTTGTGGAACAAAAAGTATGCTTAATCAAATATTTAATGCACTTTCCTGAATTCTTAATCATAAAGATCACACTTGCATAAAAGCAGTAACCACTTTAAGATTCCCAAGTCTATAGTTACATTTATGATGTCCTTAAACTGAAGCACTACATCATTTTCAAGCTACTCAACATTTCTCTTATGGAGAGACTACTTTTACAGAATTAAATTCCCGTTATCTGGAAGGTTAAAAATTGTATACACTACATTTGGTATTAGGCCACTGTATCTGGCCTATAACGCCGCCAACTTCGCTGCCTTCTCTTCTTTTTCCCCACAGTACCACCGACAAACCCCTGTGCTCTTTTCTTGAGTCTGAATTTTTATTCAAAATAAAGTTAAAAACTGATCAGTACTTCACTATATCAATATGCATTTGCCTGAAAGGTCTTTGTGAAAGCAACAATAAATGAATAAAGAGGAGACAGATTGAATGCAGATCTTGTAACATAGAAAAAACTCCATAAAAGATGTATTTGTTTATGAAGTAATAAATATATACTACAGTACTACTAATATATTTCTAAGAATTGTCATAAATAAGTTTCCATCTTTGAGAACTTTATCATATCTTAGTTGCACTTTGTTGGCTTTGAAATAAGATTGCAACAAGACAAATATTGGCTTGAAAAGAAATAAAAACTTCATTCCAGCTATGACAACCCAGCAAAAACACGTAAGGTGCTAAATCGAGCATTCCTCCTAAAAGCATAAGCATTGCCTCTCTGAAAGAAATCACAATAAAATTAACAATAAACCACCGAATGTGAAACAGTACAAAAAGCAAATAGATACCACAAAGCTCAGTGGAGGTCTCTGCCTGACACCTGCAGCAGCTCCAGTATTATCTACTATAAAATGTCATCGTTTGAAGCACACAAGATGTGCACTGAAGCTCTCCGTGACAGCTCCCAGTACATAACAGCAGAGTCTTTCTTAATAGCATGTAACAAAAAACTCAAACAATATTATAAACATTATTATAGCCATTAGAAAGGGCTTCAACACTGTTTTAAAACAACTTTTATATATATTTAAAAAAAATAATCTTATGGAAGGGCATTTACATCCCTTTTCCCTAGATACTCCTCACAGGATAAACAGACAGCAATTTAGCAGTTATAATATGAGATGACCCAGATCTTAACAATTAAAAGGGTATTTAAAAGGCAAAGACTTTTAATTGAGAAATCCTGGACTAATTCTCCTACAATGAGCTTGTAAATCATCCTCTCCTTTACAAGCTTCTGGCAAACCTAGCATACCTTAAAAACACACCAGAGCACTAGAATGTTTAATCTGGGAATGTCAGGAAGAAAAACTATAACGCAGCATCTAGAGAGAAAAAACAAGTATGACTGCAGAAAAAAATGTATTATGAATTGCTTCACACTTGCTACAAGGCTTTATTAGCTAAAGACATCAAGATGTGGTACAAATTCTAGCTTTGTCAGAATAATATATGATACATGATACATATATATATATATACACACAAATGTATGTGATAAAAGACTGAATGCTCTATCATGTATTATCTTGATCATTCTATAAGACTAACTATGCTCAGGGCACCATATTTGCAGAGAAGTGGTAGGAGTGGATTCCAGTCAGCATAACTAGCTGCAGGTTTGATTTTCCTTCCTGAAAGCCAAGCCTTGCTTTACTAGTGCTTTGGGACCATTATCCAGGTACAACACTGCTTTTTCTCAGAAAGCTGAAAATAAGAACTTCCCTGTCTATGCTTGGGAAAAGCAAAATCCAAATGTTACTTTTTTTTTTTTTTTTTTTTAAAGTGTAGTTAGTGTCACCAGACACTTGCATATGACACCTAAATTTGTAGTCTCCATTTAGACCAACCTGCCAGTAGAAGTTGACACTGGTGCAGCCCAGCCCAGCCTTCCAGCTCCCAGGAGGCTTTTTACACTGTGTGACACTTACAAAAACACTTGCTGCTTAAAGACCAAGAGCATAGCACAGTAAGATGTTAATGAAGCCTTTTCAGCATGGACACCGAAGTGCACTCAGATGCTGATCAAGAAACTCAGCAGTATTTTCTCCGCAAAGAAGGGTTACATGAGACAACTTTTTGTTTGTTTGTTTTTAAATGGATCTTGATCCATCTTCCAATTCTATAATTTCTACAGCTGGGGATGATAGGAGTGAAGAGTAATTTAGAAGACCAGAGTGTTGTAGGGATAGACTCTCCTTGTAATTACAGGCAACAGAAGCAACTTTGAGGCAGATAAAGCAATGTCTGCAAGTATACAAATAAATTCCATCATAAAAAAGCTTCACTTATTTAATTTTAGCAAGTGAGTAGAAAGCAAGCAGTTTCCAAAAAAACCAAGCACATGAAGGTCTGTCCGTTTTGTTTTACTATAGAATATTTGTATGTTGAATTAAGTTGGGAAAATTAAAAATCAGCAATGCCTGCAAGAAAGAAATATAGGAGTATGTAATCATAGAAAGAAATCTCAATTTACCTCCCAAAGTGCTTTAAAATCCTTCTGCTCAATTCGAAGGAGCTCACTATATTCTCTAGTAACGATGGTAGCATGGCGAGGAGTGTTATCCAGAATGGACTCTCCAAAAGCAGTTCCTATTCCCAAAGTGCATATTGTCACAGCATCCTTTGAATTAAAAGTAAAAGGACAAATTAAATATTTCAGGGGACTGGGATCTGAGATTCATGGAGTTAAGAGTGTTCATATCACAGTTGTTCACAGCATTGCCTTCAGTTTCTTCAGCCATTCTCTAAATTAAAGAAAACAAAATTAAAGACAAAATGATCTAACCACTGGGATGATATAGGTCAGAAGTCTCACAAACGATAAGAGAACTAGCAACAGAAAGGCAATCCTGGAATATTAATTTCTGCCCTATACATGCTGCCCTCATCAGAGAGGGAATTTGACTGCTGTTTCTTTGGCAAACACTTTTCACATGCAATATCCTCTTGTATTTGTAACATATTTGTCTATGGTACAAGGCCTGAACACAGTGCACACACAAATACTGACTCATGGCCTTTCTGTTGAAAGTGCCAGTAAACTTTTCAATTGTTAATGAAGGCCTGCCCATTAAGTACCAGATTAAAAATACATATGTATACACACACACACATCATTTCATATAAGTTTTATATTAGAAACTAAAGTCCAGAACAACCTGGAATAGATTCAGACTGATCAGAATGGTTCTAAATCTGTAGCAAATTCCACCCCAAAAGTGTGGGTGAAGGTGACAGAACGATATCCAATTCAACCCCCCTTGGCAAACAACTCTCCTGGCATAGTTCTGAAATCAATTACAAGCTAGTGCTGAGAGGAAAAAAAAAGGAGGGGGAGGAGTACTAATAACTAAGTAACTTGCTGCAGTAAGATCTTTACATACATGCTTAAATCTAGGTTTGGCCTAAACTGTCTTTTGAGTAATTAAAAAAAAATAGCAACAGCAGTAAAGATTTAAATAGATACAAACTGTGGTTTACTAAGAAATTGATAGATGGGTAGAGTATGCCCATATATGCACATACAAAGACACTATCCATTTTTACTTGCACATTAAAAAAATGGAGTTGAATTTAACTCTAGCATGTAAGACTCCTGAAATGGCTACAAAAACATACGCAGAAAATTATCATCCCATCCATTCCCTGCTCATGGCTGATAAACAAGGAGATGCATGAGCATAGTTCAGCATCATTTTCTCTGCTTAAAATTGCATTGTTTTCCTTTCATGCATCTAATAAGCGGTAATAGGCAAATGTTATTAAGATCAAGTTAGTAGCTCTATAACTGCATTACAAAGACAAATGTCCATAATAGTTAAGTTCCTTGAACCATAGCAAATTGCTTTTGCATGGATATTACCATATAAAATCATCTGTTCAGGAAAATAAAATCAATTACATCTTAGAAAAGATCTAGAAGAATTTACCAGTTGTCAGAAATAAATTTTCAAGGAACACTGAATGAATGGGCACTATCTGAAAGAAAAAAATTGCAAATGAGCACCAAAGAAACAGATGTCTCTACAAACAGGCTACTATCCTGGCTATGCACTAAGGCTTCCACCAAAACAAGCATAGCTTCTGGAGTTGAAATACTATGTGTGTCACTATTCACAACCGCACTCAGAGGCGCTACAAAGGAAATAGGTCTATTGCTCATTCAAGTTGTGATCACCAAACCTCCAATATTTTATCCTCGATTTTGATACATTCAGATAAGAGTCCTCTATTTGGGGCTGAACAAACAAATTCACAGCCTGGCATAAAAAGAAGTGTTCCCATTAAGTGAAACACAAGCTATATTTACATCTTTATATTTCTTTCCCACTGCCTTTCACCATCACCTTATTTGATCTCTTGCAACTCCTCAAAAGCATATTTTTAAAAACATAATAGAGAAGAGAAAGGTATTAGCTAAGGAACCACTTTCTAAGAGAGCTTTTGATGGGGCGGCTGTTCAACCTCAGAAATAAATTAACCTTGTGGGATGTCAGCTTGCACGTTCATTAAAGACAAGTCCAGGCTTCTATTGAGGGAAGGCTCTTTCAGTTTTCCCCTCAGCCATCATTTCTTTACACAGAGATGTGGCTTCCTCACAGCCAGCCAGGGAGCAACCCATCCGGCTTCCTCAAGACTTCAGAGACCCCTTTTCTGCCTGCCCCCTGTTTATACATCGCGGGTCGCCTGGGAATCAGGTGTGTGTTTCTATCAGGCCCGTTAACCTTCCCCTGCGGGGCCTCCCGCTGCTCGGCGCCAGCAGGACTGCTGCCGGCTCCCGGCTCCCCTCGGCAATCCCAGCAGCAGCAGGGGGTTCTAGCTGCTGCTAACCAGCCAGAAGGGGCAGTGCTATTTGAAAAGCTGCATTAAAGACTTTTAAAAATAATAATAAAAGGACGCGATTATTTTCATTGCTATCAGTCCTCTGAACACACTGTTAAATGGTAGGCAGTGTTCAAATCACAGGCTGTTTGCGGATTTGGCTTCACTGGCTGGGGGGGACTGGGTTTGCAAGAGCGCCGGGGGAGGGAGGCGAAGCAAACGCCAGGCTCTGCCCTGGGCCCTCCCCCGCCATCTTGGGACAGTCACGGACGCTCCTCCGCGGACACTTCCCGTTTTCCAGCTTGGCGTACAGGGTTTCATAGAATCATAGAATGTCCAAGCGGGTTTTGAAGGTCTCCAGAGAAGGAGACTCCACAACCTCTCTGGGCAGCCTGTTCCAGTGCTCTGTCACCCTCACTGTTAAGAAATTTTTCCTTAAGTTCCTATGGAATTTTTGATGTTTCAGTTTCCGGCCATTTCCTCTAGTCCTATCAGTGGCCACCACTGAAAAGAGGCCATGACCGTCCTCTGCACTCCCTCCCTTGAGGTATTTATATACACTGATTAGATCCCCTCTCAGCCTTCTCTTCTCCAGGCTGAACAGGCCCAGCTCCCTCAGCCTCTCCTCATAGGGCAGATGTTCCAGGCCCCTGATCATCCTTGTAGCCCTGCGCTGGACTCTCTCCAGCAGCTCCACATCCCTCTTGTACTGTGGAGCCCAGAACTGGACACAGCACACTGTGGGTGAACCGCGGGCACAGGGACACACGCTCTTAACCGGAGAAGAGGTGAAAAAAGGGGATATTTTTCCCTTGTCCAATTTCTGCCAGCCTTATTAGCATAAGGAATACCTTCTCCTGTGAGAAACTTCATTAAGCAAAAACAAGGAACAAATGCAATGGGGATAAGTTGGGGGAAGACCATGGTGTCTATGACCAAAGCAAAGAAAATAGGAAATGGGAACTGGTCTGAGGAGGAAAGTACTTGGACATTTCTTTGAAACTCACTTGTATTCCATATTTTGAATTTATAAGGAAGTTGATGCTTTTTGTTTCATCATTTTTGCAGTTTTTGTACCTTTATCTCACCTGTGGTCCTCCCCAACACAAGAGCCCCAAACAATCCCAGTCTTTAGCTGGAGATGTGCAAAAGACAGGATTCTTAAGAGTAGATTGTGTAGCTTGTTACTACGTTGACAATACTTAGTTCATCCTCAACCAAAATTTCCTTTTATCACAGAAACAAAGATAAACGAATGCTAGTCATCCGCACTGAGGTGACTTCCCCATTCCAGCACTGCCACTGGAGCATGTTCCGGCCATTCAGAAATACAATCCTTACCAGACTGCTGTAAAAGGCAATATGGCAATGGTTTTCCACACTGGAACTGCACTTTCCTAGCAACTGACCCTATAAAAGGGCAATATCTTGATTTTTTTCTCAGCTTATCTGGTAGACCGAAGTGAAGCGATTTTTCTACACGTGAAAAAGCTAACTTCAAAATCAGAACCCCTGTTCCTCTGCAGGGCTCCTGCTTCTCAGCTGAGCACATTAGTCCCCGCTAGTCTCCGTTACAGCCGATAGACCAGTTCAGGTTCAAACAAGCTCATTTAAAGCCAGCTTCAGTATATTTACGCTACACCACAAAGCCTATCCTTTGGTTTCATACAGATTATCCCAGAAATACATGATGGCAATTGCACATTTGCATGCAGAAAACAGTATTGCAGTGATTGGCCTCCTTAAACCCCTTCCCTTACACCATTTCATCTTATCACATACCTCTTTTGGCCTCAGTTTCAGAAAGCCATGACACATCTCAAACATCCGAATCTCTCTGCATGGCCATTCTCATCAGGACCATTAACTAGTTTGGCTACTGGGTCACAGCCCTCTGCATGACACTGCAATACCACTAAGCAACCCTCTTTCTTATCCTCCTTCCTTCCCATTGCATCAGACGACCATATCAACCAGTGGGGGTAAAAGGCACAAATACAGTGAAACAATGCTGCAGAATCTGGCCAAAGGGCATCTCGTGGCTTGAATCTACAGGTTCTTTGGACTATTAAAAAAAACATAGCAGTGACTATGCCACACAAACTTTTGCCAGTTGGATTTATCTCCAACTTTATATTAGGGATTTTTCACAATCGACCCTTGAGAATTTGTTCATTTTCCAGGCAGAGCTAAAAACTTAAAATAAAACAAGGCAGTTGACAATATTTTGAAGTCATTACCACTCTAAGCTATCTTAGAAAGGAACTTATACTACTACACACAATTATAACAATGAGTAGATAACAGTGCCAAATAAAAAGTAAACTTGAGTCTGTTTATAAGTAAGAATAAGGACATTCTCCTAGTACATTCAAAACAGGCTGCAGTTCCTGTTTATTTTGAAAGGTACTTTCTAAATCTGTGTGCAACTTAAGTACAATAGTTATCAGGGTATTCATTACAAATAAGTTGAGGCAAGATCGAAAAACTTCAAACTTATCCCCACAGTTTCTAGTATGACATTTTTACCATTAAAATAAGCCTTTTTCTGTCTTCTTGATTGCTGAGCAGCCAGCCAACTTTACAGAGATGCTCAGGAGAGGTTATCTTATCACATCTCTATGGAAATTGCATTGTCCCATTTAGATGCCAAGTTTAATTACTAGCACAGTCAGGAGCAGCAAGCATATTTCACTGCCTCGGTGCAACAGAACTAACAAAAATAGAGAGGCCTGCTCTAGTCAAGCTCTTCAAAGCAACTATATTATATAGCTCCCTTTGAAACCAACCACTTTAGTA